GTGCATGTTTGGTGAAAGGTGTGGGGGTCTGGTTGTGTGTGTGTGTGTGTGTGTTATGTATATGTTACATTGTGGTTATGAAATGTCCCCGCGATGTGTTAAAAATCTGTCATTTTGATGCTGTTGGGATCATTTTTTTTTTAGTCCCCACAAGGGGAAACTCAATTTTAACAAATCTGTGACCAATCAAAAAAACTAAAAATGCCAAAAGTCTTGTATTTTGTTTGGTTACTTATGGGTAAGGTTAGGGCTGGGTAGGGGTTAAGGTCGTCATGTTGGGATTAGAGTTTTCCCCATAGAAATGAATGGAGAGTCTCCACAAAGATATATTTACAAACCTGTGTGTGTGTGTGTGTGTGTGTGTGTGTGTGTATGTGTATAATATGAGGCACACTACAGGAATGTTCCAGTCAGGACTCCCAGCGGCTGGACAGGAAGTGTGTGGAGTCGTTACAGGAAGTGTGTACCAGGAGGGCCAAGCACGGGTGGGGCCTAACGAGCAGCGTGTTTTCCTGACACGGAGTTCTGCCAGTTCCCCCTCCATTTGTTTCTCCTGCAGCCTGCTCTCCTGCATGCGCTCTCAGATGCCACCTACCCTTCACACTCTGCAACCTTCTCTAATGATGATAGCCGTAGAGAGGGGAACGGCGTGACACTCCAAAGGGGGCAAAGGAGGTAAACACAAGTGGCTGACTGGTACAGAATGGGTGGATGTAGGGCAAAAACCGGGAAGCAAGACTAAATGAATAACAAATTCTAGCAATTAATTATTAATGGGTAACAATTTTGAGTAGACAGAAGAACAGAAATGAATGTAAACCACAGAGAGATACAAACAGAATATATACATTCCTGTAGTGTGCCTCATATATATATATATATGCGTGTATGAGGGCAGTACAAATAGTGGGACTATATATTCATATTTGGATTGTCATTGATTACTATTGAGCGAAGAGTCTTAATTAATTCAGCTCTTTTCATTTAAATGCATAAGATGTGTAAATAGGTTACAAGTATGTAACAAATATACTACTATAAGTGATCCCAATTAAATGTTCCTGCATAACAAATACAAATTAAAATTAAAATAAGATAAAATGCTTGCTTTTCTTCCATTTCTCCATCAGGTCTGACGTACATTAGAGCCGGCCATTCTGAAATGAAAGCCACACTCGTCAGCCAACGGGATGTGGGAGCATTCTAGCTAGAGTGCAAAAGGTAATGTGTGTGTGAGGAGGAGAGTCACACCCGTGCTGGAGCACCTGCATGTCGTCTCCCTGCTGATCTGCTCTGATGGGGAGACACAAATCCCGCTGCCTTTGTGGAACAGTCCACAGCTTCTGTGAAGAGCCCATGATTCCTAATGCCTGCTGCTTCCACAAAGCTCTGACGGTCGTGCTTGTCAGATGCAGTTTTGCACGATCACAGTGCCTCCTCAGCTATTAGAAGGAGACGTAAACAAGTCGGACTGTGTGTGTGTGTGTGTGTGTGTGTGTGGATTAGGTTAATATTACTTTGTGGGGGACCAAATGTCCCCCACAATGTAATAAAAACCATTTTTCAGGTCCCCAGAGAGATCTGTGAATCCAATCAAAAATGTAAAAATGCCAAAAGTCTCGTATTTTGTTAGGTTACTTATGGTTAAGGTTAGGGCTGGGTAGGGGTTAAGGTTGTCATAGTTGGGATTAGGGTTATGCACGTAGAAATGAATGAAGAGTCCCCCCACAAACATATGAATGGACTGAGCGTGGGTGTGTGTGTGTGTGTGTGTGTGTGGGGGTTGGAGTTTAGCATCACAGGAATTGGTTGATTCGTGTTCATACATCAATCTTTATGGATGTAATACCAATGTGTCTTCATTTACATTTTAGTGCACAAGTATCTGTAATGAAAAGTGATTATTGTTATAATTTATTTTTAAGACATGGACAGGCATCAGGACAGCATCTTACATCATTTCGCGCACGACAAAAGCACAGCCTCTGTGAATGCTGTCTCGACTCTGGAATGCACAAGTTTAAAATGGTGAGTTTTCATGACAAGTTCATGTGAATGCAGAGGACCACTGCTGTCATAAATGCTTGGCTAAGCACAGACTTTGAACATCACCTCCTCCTGTGCTGTTATTCGCTCCCACGTCTGCTCACTTTTATCTGCCTTTCTTTTCTGTGGTCGGCCTGCTGGAGAACATGTCTCTCAGCACAGGAATCTTCCCGTCCGTTTGAAGTGCTGAGGTCAGGGCATACTGTCTGTCCGTCTGTCCATCACTGAGTCTGTGAGCCCGCCTACATGGGTGCGCGAATGTCTATCTGTCTGTCTGCCCATCAATCCTGGCTCTCGTTAACCCTGCAGCTGTGTGAGAGGCAGACAGTTGGAGTCATTGTGCAGCTCCACCACACCCTTAAGCCCCCCCAACATGCTTCCAAATACACCTGCATAGGACATAGAGCAAGGGGGACTTTCATCCCACAAAGCGGCATGAGAGGCATCCACTGTGAGATGAGGTGGGAGTGTGTGTGTCTCTGTCTGACTGTGTCTATCTGTCTGTCTGTCTGTGTCTGTCTGTCTGTGCCTGTGTCTGTCTGTCTGTCTGTGTCTGTCTGTCTGTGTGTGTTTGAGTGTGTGTGTCTGTTTGGGTTA